TCCATCTTGATCTCCTTAGCAGGATGGGGCCTAGGTTGATTGAGTCAGCTGCCCCCTTAGCCGATGGGTTGTGCTCCCCAGGGAGTGCTGATTAGTGGAGCAGGGCCAGGATGGAGGTAGCTCTCAAGAGGGAGGCAGGGCTTGCCCTGCAGGCTGGAGTGCCTGATGCCGCGCCTGCACACACCCACGGTTAGCTCGTCTCCGAAGCGCAGCTTTATCAGGAGAAAGGGAATCAGAGCAAGAGCATCCAACAAGGCCTGCACAGTGCTTAGTAGAGTTTTGCCCCGAGGCAAACATTCAATATATTGTAGAGTATTCTCATTATTAATAGTCTTCAAGAGTTTTCAATCTAGGGAGGAAACAGGATACAAATGGAAACACAGAAGGAATCACTTCACAGGAAACATACTCCCCATATGCCCAAGATCATAAGCCCATACTCATGTGATCTGTGTTGGTTGATATGTGCTGAAGGGACAGCAAGGGTGGAGTGGTTTGGTTGGGTCAGTGAGGCTACCTTCTTGAAGAAATTGAATCATGGGGCTAATCTGGCGTCCCAGGGAGAGAAACAAGGTGAGGAGCTGTGGCAGACACTCTTCTCTCTGAGGAAGTTCCTTGGAAAGGGATCAAGTGCACTTCTGGCAACCTTAAAAAGTGAAGTGTCTGTTCCAATCATTTCCTGACTGAACAAAAACAGAGCAGGCTGGGGCAGGAGAGGACAGGGGTGGAGACATTCAGGACTCCTAGTTCCTCCGTCCCTCCTCAACTCAAGTTCACTCCCTCTGCCTTTCCCCAAAGGGGGAAAAGTGAGAAAAAAGAAAAAACAAAACCCAAACCAAAAAATCAACCAAACAAAACCCTAACATCAGTTTTGACCAAGACTTTTTGGGCTGGACAGCTCTGGTTCAATTCTGGATGATTTGAGGCGTATCAGTTATTTCATTTAGAAATTACCATATCATCAACCTTACGGCAGGGGTGAGGCGGGTGGGGATCAAATAAGACCACATAAGTTCATGGGGCTGGGCACACGGTAGGCACTTATTAAGTGGCCGTTTACTCTTACTAGGGCCCTGGGGAGAGGTAGAGAAAGCATTAGGAAGAACGCGAAATTTTCCTCACATGCCAGGGATTACTTTTCTCATTCACTGCCCTCCAAACCTCAGAGCGGAATTGGGAACTGAAAAGGCGGAGATAAGTGAAAAGTTCTTTTTTCTTTCTTTTAAATTTCCTTAACAGGGTAGCAAGGGCTCCTGCCTCCGCCGAAATAGCTCAGTTGGGAGAGCGTTAGACTGAAGATCTAAAGGTCCCTGGTTCGATCCCGGGTTTCGGCAGCGTTTTTGCCGACCCACGTTGGGACCGAGGTGCCGACCCACGTTGGTACCGAGGTGCGTTCGTTTCCGTAGAGCCCCGCCCAGTGCCTCCGGGTGCGCCTGCGCAGTGCCCGTGCCGGCCTCAGGGCGCGTGCCAACCCCCCGCGCGTGCGCAGCGGATGCGTGTGTGTTGAGGGGAGGCGGGTGTCTCACGCGCGTGCTCACCCTCGCGCTTGCGCAGCGGCCTTGCGGGTCTCGGCGCGCGCTCAGGGGAGGCTAAGGTGCTTCACTTGGTACGGGGAGGGTTCGGAGGCTTAGTCCTCGTAGCGAAGTCCGGAGCCGCGGAGTGCCCGGCATTAGTCGCACCACCGCACACCAGGCTCCCTAGTGTTTGTTCGCAGTTCCCAGTGCGGTCAGCTCTCCAGGCTCGCAAGGTTTTCTCGTGGGCGACAGACGTGCAGACTGCCCTCAAAAACGTTTGTCTGCGAAGCCAAACCCAAAAGCCAGGGCCTCTCGTGGGCGCGCCCGAAATCTGGTGAAGGATGGTCCCCAGCCGGAAATGTGACTCATAAGCACGTGTCTCTATTTGAAAGAGTCCTTGGAACCTCAGCTTTCTCACCATGCCTTTAATAAACGGGGCGCCAATTACTGTCAGGAGCATTGCTGTCGGGAATGACGATGGGGGTGCAGTTTATTGGCGTTTTGTATATGAAAGTAATACACGTAAGTTTCAACGAAAAAAACATCTGAAGGCACAGTAACATTCCAAAGTTGGAAGAGAAAAACCTGAGCGTTGAAGGCTTGATATTGAGCACCGTGCGCATGCGCGAAGTCCGAGGCCGGTCAGGCCCACAAGGGGGTACCCTTCTCTCCCAGCGCGGAAGGGATCCCAGCGGTGCTTTGCATAACCCCTTACCTGGGGGTCTAAGAATGGTGTTAACAGTCTCAAATTTGTTTTTGGAGTTTAAAATAACCTACGCCCGAACAGGGACTTGAACCCTGGACCCTCAGATTAAAAGTCTGATGCTCTACCGACTGAGCTATCCGGGCTCACAAGGAAAGTTCTTTCCTAACTCTATCCGCAGGGAAATAGTCCACGTGGCTGTACATTTTTCTTATTGAATTAATATCCTGAGACCCTTTACTGATTTCTTGAGGGTGGAAGTACAAAATCAAGATCCAGTGGGTGTTGGGCTGAATGGAACCCTTCTCTGTCCCATCAGAGATAGACTTTAAAGAAAAAACCTGCTGTCTCGCCTGCTCCGCCCCCGTGCTGCTCCCCTTCCCCTTCCCCCCTCCCCCGCCAACTAAGCGTTGGCACAGGATAAAGGGAACGTCCCCTAAAGAATTCTCCAGATTTAGGAACTCCGGGCGTGCTTCTGGTTGAGCAGCGGGATTTTTATTCCAGTGTTGGTCTTTGAAGAGCCCCGGAGTGTCCTGTTGGTGGCGTATTAAGAATAACTGATTAGACATTCATCGAGTGCATGCTGCTCCCCAGCACCTAAGCAAACTTGAGCTGCAAAGACCCAGCCCTGGTCCTCAGTGCAGCAGAAAGCTACACTAACAGACGCACTCAATCAAGCATTTTGATGGTGGGAAACTGGCTTTTTGCAGGCTCCGGGCTGACACCAGAAGTAAGGGCAGCCAAGTCTTCTAGGGGGCTAGAGAAGCTGTGAATGGTTACTGGGCCCCTGTAGTCTTGGAAAGAATTCTGAGCAGAGGGACGAGCAGACAGGAAGTTCTCCAGGGAATCTGAACATTTTTCCAGAGCTTTTGCTGAACGGTTTAGGCCAGGTGGGATTTTATATTTTGAGAAAGTCCTGTTATCCTGGCAGCTGTATCTCGGACTCAACTAATTTTTTCATTCATCCTGCTCCCTCATTGCCATATCCTTTCTTGAGGTATTGGACAAGATCCCTTGAAAGGAAGGGAATCCTATGATGTAGAACCTCACGCCATTTTCGTCCTGCTTGGAGTTCAGAGACACTCCCCTGTGTTGGGGGAACGTTGAGGTTTGCATTCTTTGTGAAATGTACTTGATGCGAAATGTATCAGGAATGAAACGTATCAGCATGTTTAAAAGGTAACCTGTTATGAAAGATATCCATGTTATGGTAAGCAAAAACACAAGATGCTACACAGTATGTATGGGATATTTGTGGAAAACAATAAAGGATCTGTATAGGAATATATTTTCTTTATACATTTTGTATATTTGGGGTTTGCCTGTACATAAGAGATGTTTAAGGATAGAAAACAATAAAAATGGCTACATTTTGTAAGAGGAGGCTCTCACCATTTCCTTTAGGTACAACTGTGTTATTGGAGCAAAGAAAATGCATTCTTTTCATGTAATCTGTTAAATTCTTCTAACCTTCTGGGATCACACAGGGAGCCCTTCAGATCCAGGCATCCCTAATCCTGTGTTTTCTACAGATCCCAGAAAAGAAAGGTTAAAAGCACAAATTTTCTTTCCAGTAAGGGTGTGTGTGTGTGAGGGGGGAGTCCCTCCATGTCTCATGATTTGAGAGGGGAATCACTCTATTGAAAAATCACAAATGAATAAGGTAGTGTTCACAAGTGAGGATGTGCATCTCTAAGAATCAGATGACAAGTCTAGATTCCACCAAGAAAACTAAAACCAGGTCCCCCCTGGTGAGGAGCTGCTGGTGCTGGGAAGTCAGTCCCGGGGGACTTAGTGAGCCTCTGGCCTAACCTCAGCTTCTTACAACAGGGCTCTGTTCACAGGGCCTGCTCAGTACAACACTGAGTGCGGGCGATCCAGAAGATCTGCTTCCTGAGACAAGACTAGATCCACAGGTACCAAACACTGAGAACCAAAGTCCCAAACTGTATGTCATTGAGCGTTAACAGCGGGGAACTGGCCTACTCAGCATAGAGAGGGTTCACTGGAGCTGTCTGTATTTCATTTAACAGCCGCTGTGCTTTTTTCCACTTCCTTCCATCCTCCCCAACCCCCCGGTCTTGAAATGCCATCCTCTCCCCACTTTCCAAGTTTCTTTGGTTTGGAATGTTCCCTTTGATCTTTAAAGACCAGATTGAGGACTTGCCCAGAGATCCCTGCTTGATCCTCTCCAGATCAGGTTACGTGCTGGGGGCCTCTGAGGCTGTCACTATTGCTGTACTCACCACACCCTACCTTCAACACCTGTCTGAAGACACACAGTCTTTCCTCCTCCAACGTTTCTGCTGGGAGGCAGACAGTCCCTGTGTGTCCCCAGTGCCTGGCTGGTGGCTGGCATAGATCAAGCTCTCAAAAAGGTTGCGCAATGAATGAGGGCCATGGGTCAGGGGAAGATTTGGAGAGCAGAACTGGTTCCTGGGAGGTTTTGTTTGGTAGAGACAGAGGGAGAACATTCCTGTCAAGGCGAATGATTTCCACAAATGGAATGATGTTGCCCTGAGAAAGTTCTATGCCACTCTATTGTGCCACCCCGTTTTATTTACTTTGTAGCGCTCATTGCCATCTGAAATTCTGTTTATTTGCTTGTTTATAAACCATCTCTTCCCTCTGTCACTCTGTGATGTAAGTGCCTCTGGATAAGGCATATTGTTGGTAAGGACCTTGTCTTTTTTGTTACCCTCATTTTTTAGCTTTTACTTTTCCAGAATTTTCTGGATTCCCATAACCCCGGCGTTTAGAACAGTACTTGCCATAACGCAGGATCTTAAGAAATAACTGTTGACTAATTTCAAAGGGTGAACGCTTTTACTCCCCACCCCACCCCAACGTAGTACAGTTTTACACGGACCCTTTCCTTCAGTTTTCCAAACCATCAACTCTGAATTTCTTGCTACACTTTCCGTTTCTGGCAAAAACACTAACAGTCAGATTAACACGTCATTGCCATGTAACCATTCAGGCTGTCTTTGTTACTTCCGTCCATCATAGTCTCTCAGCCTGTTAAGACTGAAAACACACAGAGGGTCGCAACTGTTTACCATCTTGAAAGCCCTCGGGAAACTCAAAGCGTAAGTTCCTGTTTAGAAAAGCAGACGAGCCTTTACCAGAAGTGGGGTTCGAACCCACGAGGATATAAATCCATTGGATCTTAAGTCCAACGCCTTAACCACTCGGCCATTCTGGTACGCTGCAAGCGCGCGTTCATTTTTAGCCCACTTGAGCAATATGGAGTTACTGAAGTTTCAAAACAATTAGAAATTTTGATTGTGAATGTAAAAGCGCAATGTGGGTGCAAAAAAGTCTCCGAAACTTAACACGTCTCGCTAATTTCTCCACCTCCAGTCACCGGAAACTCTGGGGCCCCCTAAAGGCGACTGGAAAGACTCGGGTGACGAATCTCCCAACACCATCACACGAGAGGACCCAACAGGAAGTTGGAATGAGTTTCCTTCCTTTTCCTAGGGGACGAGTGGGATGGGGAATTTTAAAGGTGTCCAGGTGGGATTTTTTCTTTACTTCCTTCCTCTACCAAAACAAAAGCGACTCTGGTGGGACTCGAACCCACAACCTTTGAATACCTCCATCTGTCTAGAAGTCCAATGCGCTATCCATTGCGCCACAGAGCCAGGCACTCCTCCCTTCTCCGCGCTGCTTACATCAAGGCAGGCGCGCCGTCTGCCCCGGGACACTCGTCGCGGGTCCGGTTGCGCCTTCTTTCTCGGAGAAGCGGCGGAGCGCGTGCAGCCGAGAAGAAGCGTGGGTGGGAGCTGCGCTTGGCAGTCCGAGAGCCTTCTGACAGTTTCTCTGCGGGAGCGATGGCCGGGCCTCTACGCTCAGTCTCCGCCCACACTGGAAAGAGAAAGCTCTTTAAGTGCACTTACCACACCCTGGACGGCTGCTGCACCGCGCGGTTCCATAGTGTAGCGGTTAGCACATCTGCTTTACGCGCAGAAGGTCCTGGGTTCGAGCCCCAGTGGAACCACGAGGTTGTCCTTATTCCTTTTAGGGACATTTTCAGGCTTTTCCTTTGTCAGCCAGACCTTGAGTTTTACCCCGGGTAGCGAGAGACGCTGCGGTCCAGCCCGGGGCTTGGCGCTGAGCCAGGCCGCGCGGGCTCCCGGCCGGTGGGCGCCTGCGCAGATCGACCGACGCGGCTGCGGCGACGTGACGCCTCTGGGGACGTGCAGGCGCCGGGACCCGGCTCCAGGCACAGCGCGCCTCCGCGCCTGCGCCTCCCCGACCCCCACCGCGGCGCCCCCTCCCAGGGCCTGGGCCGGGGTCCTGGGCTCACCTGCTCCTCCGCCATCTTAGAAAGTTGCTGACACCGCTCAATGGGAGGATATCCGGAGGGTCACCGCCTTCCCGTGTTGATTAACTCCAACGTCACCGATCTCATGATTTATTGAAATTAAACATCTTTTTGGAAAATTATACGCACATGTTAAAGAATTCAAAGAGCTCTGCGTGTCCTACCGTGATGCGCCCCTCTGACAAAGCTTGTCTCCGTGACCAAACTCTAGCCTGGCTCCTCTGGGTCAACCAGGCCTGTCCACCTCGGCCTTGAACAAACAACCAGGCTGTTTCTAGCAGCATCCCTAAGGTCCCCTGACAGTGCTGCCTGAGAAGACTGGCCAATTTACTGTTGGCTCCAGCCAGCGCCTGACACAGGGCCCCTGTCTCTCAGCCTCTGTGGGAAGGTAGGAGCCTAACTTGTTGGAGTTAAGAACCAGTTAGCAAACCCACATGGGGTTTTCAGGGACCAGCTCCATCCGTTTCCAGATTTTTATAATTTTCGCTTCCCTGGGCCTACTGAGCTGCGATCACTCCCCTCCTGTCCCCTTATGGTACAAATCGAAGTTGAGTGCAGTTCACGCTGGACACTTTTCCCTCTTGCCATAGTATATTACTGATTAGAATCTGTGCTCTCGCCTTTAACTCGTGTCCAGCTTTCTCTTGGACACCTCCCATCTTTCATCTGCTGGGAGTTTCTTTTGTGACTCTTCAGAGATATTCTTTGCACTCACCAGTATAGATGCCCATTTCCTTTATTAGCCACTTAGGATTTTTGTACAAAAGAAAGCATATGATTGATACTGCTCCCCTCACCCCAACAATATTCTGGAAATCTTTCTATGTCATTGTTGAGTCTGCTTGTTCTTTGGCTTCCAGTGCTTGGATGTACCACAATTGTTTAGTCTGTGGTATTTAATGAACAACTAACTCGTGTTCCATCTTACAGACAATTCTGTGGTGGATTTCCTTGTTGATTGGTTTTGGAGTGGAACATAAGAGTAATAATAGCAAAAGCTTATCTAGGCATTTCCTATGTGGCTAGGCAGGAGACTGACTCAGGTGAGACTCGCCATGATTGTATTATTATCTAACCCATTTGGGACCCAAAGAAGCAGCATAGAGAGGGTAGGTAATTGCCCAGGGTCACACGGGCCAGGGACAGAATAGGGTACCAACCTAGACAGAGTATTGCCTATTTGCCTTAGAAAAGGAATTGCTGGGCATATATATGTTATATTTCTATGAATGCCTTCACCTCCAGAATCTGGACAATATTACATTCCTACCAACGTGACAGTGCTTGCTTCATCTCAGTCTCTCTCAAATAAAAAGTATTAACAGGCTTTTAGGTCTCTTTGCCTTTTGAAAGAGGAACATGTTTTAGTTTACCTGTCTTTTATGAGAGTAAGGTTGAATACTTTTTCATATGCTTAAAAACCATTCTCTTTCCTCCCTATCTTCCTTTTCCCCTTTCTCCCTTCCTTCCGTCCTGCAATCTGTTGAATCCTTTTGTACAATTTTCTATTATATTGTTAATGTGTTCTTATTGATTTTTAGGTGCTTTTTATAAATATAGATTTAGATATGTTTTGCAAATGTATCTCCCAGACTTGCTGTTTGTCTCTTAATTTTTATTTTTGCTATTTTATGCTATGTAGCAATTTAAAACTGTTAATGTAGTCAAATTCATTATCCCTGTGTTTATTATTTTTTTTTGGGGGGGGGAGCTTTAAAATTTCCTGCCCAGAAAGTGCTTCCCCATTCTGAGATTATATTCCAAAAATGAAGCTATATTTTCTCCAGATTATTTCCTTAAAATTTATCTGTTGCATCTTTGGTCCTTTTGAAAAATCTATAACTAGGTGCTGTGGTCTAGTGTTTGTGCCCCCCCCCCCCCCCCCCGCCCCCCAGCCAAGCTCATATGATGAAAGCTAATCCTCAGTGTGATGGAGGGGGGCTTTGGAAGGTCCTGAGGATAAAACCCTTATGTGGGATGAGTGCCCTTTTAAGAGTGACCCCAGAAAGTTCCCTCACCCCTTCTGCCATGTAGGACACCAAGAAGACAGTGATTGATCTATGAATGAGGATATGGCATTTTCACCAAACATCAAATCTGCTAGTGCCTTGATCTTGGACTTCCTAGCCTCCAGAACTGCGAGATAGATTTCTGCTGCTATTCTAAGCCACCCAGTCTGTGGTATTTTTGTTACAGTAGCCTGAACAGACTAAGGCACTGGGTAAGCCATGAGACAGGGACATTAGACCCCTCTAAAGGGATTTTGTAAGTCGCTCTGGAGGACTTGGATGTGTAGATCAGTCAACTTGGTAAAAATCACATAGGTTCCAAAAATTAAACTGGTTCTGCCTGTCTCTAGCTTCAAAGTTCCTTAACATCCTTTCCTTAGAACTTTCCAGGAGATCTGCTGACATAGGCTTTCCCTCTGGTACTCCTTGGGCTCATCAAAGCAGCTTCCTTCTGCTTTTCTGTGTTGCATACGCTAGGCTCCTTCCCTTCTCACAAAGGGCTTAGCTCTGGGTAGTGCACAGACCACAGAAGCTCAAACTGTAGACTCCAGAGCCAAACTGTGGCTTCAATTCCTGGTTCTGCCACTCTTGATTATGTGACTGTGACACAGTACATCACCTGTTTGTGCTGTATGACACTGGCTTTGTTGCCTAACTGCTCTGGGCCACAGTTTCCTCCTCTGTAAAATGCAAATACAGATCAGGTTAGATTCTCAAGAGGATTTAGTAAATTACTGTATGTGAAGCATTTCATTTATTTATTTATTTATTTGAGAGAGAGAGAGAGAATCCCATCCAGGCTCCACACTCAGTGCAGAGCCCAGCTCACGGCTTGATCCCACAGTCCTGAGATCATGACTTGAGCTGAAATCAAGAGTCAGTGTTTCAACCAATTGAGCCCCCAGGCTCCCCTGTATATAAAGTTATTTCAGATGAAATGCATGGGGCAAACACTTAGCAAATGTCATCTATCATCATCATTATTATTACTGATTTGGCAAATAAGTCTGGTAAGTTTAGGTAGAACAATATGGTTTTCCCGTGGGGACATTTTTATTTATTTAAAAAAAATTTTTAATGTTTATTTATTTTTGAGAGAGACAGCATGCAAGCAGGGGAGGGGCAGAGAGGGGCACATAGAATCCAAAGCAGGCTCCAGGCACCCAGCTGACAGCAGAGAGCCTGATGTGGGGCTTGAACTCATGAACTGTGAGATCATGACCTGAGCTGAAGTCAGATGCTTAACCGACTGGGCCACCCCCTACCCCTGTGGGACATTTTTAGAAAATGCCAAGTGCTCGGAGCATCAGCTCTGCATTTACTGGCCTCTCTTCTTGCCTTGTAGGTGCTCAGTGTTCTCCCTCTGTCTTTTCATATTGTCTGTCCTTTATCTGCTTCCCCTTGGGGCATCAGTTATATGGGACTGGGCCCACCCTAATGGCCTCGCCGTAGTGCGATTATCTCTATTAAAAAACGCTGTCTCCAAGTAAGGTCACGTTCTTATGATTTTCAGTGCTGTGAGATCATGAAGATGTGAAGGCCCTCCCCAACCAAGTCCCCCAGGCACCCCCACATGTATCGTTTTACCAGCAGTCTTACTTGTAGGTATTTACCCAAGAGCCAGAGAGCACGCATTTACATAAAGGTGGATGTGTAAATTTTTTTTAATGTTTTATTTATTTCTGAGAGAGAGAAAGAGAGATAGCATGAGCAGGGAAGGGTCAGAGAGAGAGGGAGATACAGAATTTGAAGCAGAATTTGAGATCATGACCTGAGCCGAAGTCGGATGCTTAACCGACTGAGCCACCCAGGTGCCCCAATGTGTAAATGTTTATAGCAGTTTTAGTCATAATCCCCAAACTGGAACCAAACCAAATGGCCTTGACTGGTGAATTGGTAAAAATGGTCAGCCATGCCACTGAAAAGCATTTAGCAAGAAAATGGAATGAGCTTCTGATGCACACAACAAGGATATATTTCAAAAGTGTTATGCTAAGTGAAATAAGCCACATGGGAAGGGCGCCTGGCTGGCTCAGTCGGTTAAGCTTCCGACTCTTGATTTCAGCTCAGGTCATGGGCTCACGGTTTGTGAGATTGAGCCTGAGTTAGACTCTGCACTGCTAGCATGGAACCTGATTGGGATTCTCTCTCTCCTGCTCTCTGCCCCTCTCCTGCTTTCTCTCTCTCAAAATAACTGTAATAAGCCATATAAGAAAGACTTATAAACTTCTCTCTGCCCCTCCCCAACTTGTGTGGGCTTTCTATCTCAAAATAAATAAATAAACTTAAAAAAATACTGGAAAACTTAAAAAAAGTGACACTGGAAATAATTTCAAAGGGCCCCAATTTTATTTATTTCTGAGACAGAGAGAGACAGCACGAGCAGGGGAGGGCCAGAGAGACGGAGACACAGAATCTGAAGCAGGCTCCAGGCTCTGAGCTAGTTTTCAGCACAGAGCCCGATGCAGGGCTTGAACCCACGAACCATGAGATCATGGTCCGAGCTGAAGTCGGAAGCCTAACCGACTGAGCCACCCAGGCACCCCCACCTGGTACCAGTTTTTAACCAACTTGCCTCTGAGCTTTTTTAGTCTTCAAGGGTGACCTCTCTTTTCAGAAGTTGTGTATTAAAAGGTATGGAAACAATAACTAGTTTAACATGGTTGCAGTTTGGGGCAGGGGCGCCTGGGTGGCTCAGTCGTTCAGCAGCCGACTCTTGATTTTGGCTCAGGTCATGGTCCCGCGGTTCGTGGGATGGGGCCCCAGGCCAGACTCTGCGTTGACAGTGCGGAGCCTGCTTGGGATTCTCTC